CCTGCATGGGACTGGCTCACTGCTCACCTGCTGATGGGAGGGAATGGTCACCTATGCCTGTGCGGAGCCTCTGCAAGAGGACGTTGTCATGAGGTAGAACAGGCTCAACAAGCCATAACTGGGGAGGAAAACACTGTGCAAAGAGAAGCAAAGATGGGAAGGGCAAAGGGGCATTTCCCAAGCTGCAGAGGATGTTGGGCTGGAACAAGAAATGTGTGTTTGTATCGTAAATATTAGAGTTATGGAGTTTTTCAAGTTGATGCCAGCTCCCCTCCTCACTCCTCCCGCTCACCTCTCGCTGGCACAGCCCCAGGATGAACAAGAGGTCAAATACAGCGTTCTCTCCAAAGGCATCTGTTAGCTGCCCCGTGGAAGCTGTGCAAGGTGGGGGCTATCGCAGGTTGATACCTGAGCCCTCCCCTTCTCTGTGATGCAGCTGCTTGGGGAGCAGCGCCGTGCATGGGAGAGGCCTGGGAAAAGATGAGAAAGCATCTCTTCTGGTTATTCTCCGCAGTGCTGGTTATTTTTTGCTGTTGCTTGTGCCTGTCTGAATATTGCTGTTCACCTTCTAATGCTCCATTTCCCCAAAATACTTAGTCTTGTACATGCTGTGCTGCCCAGTGTACCTGCCAGAGTGGGGCATGGGTACTGCCCGCTACCTCTGAGTGTGCCCAAGGGGCACAACCTCCTACCGCTGGAGCGTGAACCAAGTGCAGAGATACTCATCAGCTGTCTGGGGGACAAACTTCAGCTCTGGAGATGTAGGAAAAAACTTGGTCTGCTACCTGAGAGAGCTTCTCTAAATCCTCCTAGCCCCAGCAGCTCCTGCAGGTCCTCAGCACATGTCTGGAGGCTCCTAGGCAAGTCTGAGATGCCTTGGGCATCCCCTGGTGCTCTCTTCTCTTCTGGACAACCCCCTGCATGTCCAGAAAGGCAGTGGTTGGGGCTGCACTGTAGAAGAAGCACTTGCTTGAGATCTTTGTACACAATCATTGTGTTACTGTTTCACTTTTGGGGCCAGAACGAGACCTATCATGTCCTGCAGATTCAGGGACCAAAGTTCTTAGCTGTGACAGATGCTCTCCCCGAGTGGGAGGTACAGCTCCCATGTTTGCACTGAGTCTCTCCCGTGGAGCTTCAGCCAGGTCTCTGGCATTTGATGTCCACCCCAGATTTCCCACACTATGGCCTCAAGTCCTGTGCCCTGCATCCAAAGTTCTTGGGATGTTCTCTTTTCCCTCGTGAGCCCCGGGAATGCATTTTTTCCCAGTGGTGCTGCAGGATGGTGAGAGGCAGGGTCCCACCTAACCCGCTGGAGGTAGTGGTGTGACACAGCAGTGTGACAGGGTCAAGGGCTGCCCTCTGTTTACTGTCTTTAAGATCAGCCAACCAAGCAGGTGCTGCTGGCTGAGCAGATGGCGAGGATCTGCGGGGCCGTGCTGGGGGACACGTCTTGCTGCGCTCTGGTGTCGTGGTTGTCTCCTCTTCACGTGGCCTCACACTGCAGCCGTGTCCCCATCCTCCCCTTCCCACATCACCATTGCATGTGGAGGACCCTCAGCCTTGGCAGAGAAGATGGTCAAGCAGACTTGAGTTTTTCAGGGTGATCCAACGAGCCACTGAGCAGGTTCTGGGTGTGAGCACCTGGATGAAGCTCAGCTGGTTACATCTCCTGCTTCTCGTTTTACTCACAGCTCCCCAGTGGAGGTGGTTATGTCTGAATTCATGAAGCTGAAGGATGCATTTAAGCACATCAAGCATGTGGCTCTGTTAGATTTCTCTTCCTTTCTTCTTTAGCATTTTAATTCAGCCTCTGTTGTCTATATGCCCAGCTTTTTAGATGCAGTAAAAATGAACAGTCATGGGAATATAAGTAGATTGGATTGCCTCTTTGCTGAAACCAAAAAAAATTGCGTTCCCAAATCAAAACCTTCCTGTAAGAATAAAAATAGGAACGGGGTTTGGTTTTAATTCCCAGAGGTGCTCCCTTAGCTCTGAAATGCCTAAGGATGTGAACACCAGAATTGCCACAGTTTTTCACCGCTGAATGCAGCATGCAAGAAAGCAAACAGTCACTTACTGGGTTGTCTTCTCTATCAAACGGTGGTTACTACTTTCAGCAATGTTAAACCAGTGGGTCTGGGGTTTGCTGTGGGATTTCGGTGTTTGGGTTCCCACATCACCCCTGTTTTGAAAAGTATCTACCTTTTTTTTAAACAAACCCAACAACCAACCCTTGTGCTAAGGTAGAAATGGAGCAGATGTGTTCTCCACCAATATGGCACAAAAGCCAGAACTTCCTAGACTTAAACGTTGCTTCCTTGAGACCAGCTCTGTTCAGCCCAATAGCTCTGATCCTTCCAGGCAGGGTTGCTCTTCACACAGACCATGGGCTTCTGCCCAGGGGTTTGACTGCTGCTTCCATGTGCAATTTCTTGGCCTCTGTGCCCTGGTCCATCCTCACGGTGTCAAAGTGTCCAGCCGCCAGCCAGGCAGTGTGTCCCAGACTTTGCTATCAGACTGGGAGGGAAAACTGAGCTCAGACTGCAGGAACTGTCTGGATCTATCACTGCTGCTGTCAAGCTCAAGCTCTATTTTCTTTTTTTTTTTTTTTCTCTCTCTCTTTTTTTTTTTTTTTCCCCTCTTGGATGTTATAATTGAAAATTGGACAGATTCAGCAGCCAGTGGCTGCATCTACGATTTGGCTTTGAATAACGCAGGCTCGATATCCTCTCTTAAATTAGACGGCAGCATCCTCCTCCGTGTCTCTTGAGTGCAGTTATTTTAATAGCGAGGAGCCTGACTTCACGAAGCAGGGCTGCGTTTCTGCAGTCAGGGACGAGTGAGCCATCACTGGTGGGACCAAAGGACTCATTCATCATCCACAACAGGTGCCGGAGAAGAGTCAAAACCAGCAAAGTCTGGAAAAGCTCATTGCCGTGCCCACAAAGAGACCCAGGTCCTAATTTCTTCCAATGGCTGACTTAAAGCAAGTACCGATCCCTTTACACTAAAGACCTCCAGGTGTTGTTTGCCCTCTTGATAAAAAGGGCTAATATCGTTCTTATTTGTTTCCCACTGTAAACTCTGCTGTCTCCTATCAACTCAGTTAGGCCACACACGTGCCATGTGTGCCAGGCAGTCAGTTCGTGCCACCAAGACCTTTTCCTATGTTCAGATCTACAATCCATCACAAATGTGAATTCATAACTGGTCCATCACAAATGTGACGGATTCACACCCCGCCTCTCCCAAGTTCAGAGCTATTTTTTTGGTCTGAGAGAGAACATCCTGCTTCCAAGAGGGGCTGCCCTGAGAGCTGGGTCTTCCTAGAGTACAGACAAGGACCTATCCCACTCACCCGCTTGGGAGTCTCAGGCTGTAATTAACACTCAGCCTGATAATTTTGGGTGGCCAGGCACCACAATTATTTTTTCTCTTTTTTTAGGTTTTGCACAGACACAACAGGAAGCAAAGCCGGGGCTGTGAGACAGTGGTGGGGTCAGGATTAGCTCCCTGGGGACCTCTGGGGTGCATACTCACATGCAAACACGTGTGCTCTCTCTTCACTTCCCTTGGCTGGAAATGACTGCATCTGCACGTTTTAACCCTCTCCAGCATTTCATATTGGGGATCATGAGTGGAACTTTTGACCCTTTGTGGCCCCCAGGGCCCAGCGTGGAAAATGCCTGAAAGCTCCATCCTCCACCCCCAAAGGAGTTGAGATTCCTCCTGCTGCATCTCAGCCAGATTCCCACAGATCTGGGGTTTCCAAACCTCTTCCTATTTGGCACCTGAGTAAGCCTGGGATCACCTGGCCACCTTGCAGCCTTTCTCAGCAGCTCTGGATCTGCCCTGGTCCCAGGAGAGCAGAGCTGTCAGTGCTGCAGGTGAAGGTCGCCAATGCTATGGATAATAGTATTCGTGCTTTTTTTGCTGCTATGGCAAATACCTCACCTGATATATTTCAGCACTTCATTTGCCTTTTTTATGACTGTCACAGTGGCAGCTGATAGCCCAGAACTAATGCAGCTGGGACCTCCTGCCACTTCCAGCAGCAAAGTAGCAGAAACTGCTGAATTCCAACATTGCAAAATTAAATTCTGTTGAATTTCCACTCCCCTGGTCCAGCACAAAGCTTTAGTTTCCCTGGTTGCTGTTTCAGTCTCTCTCTGCCATGGCAGCCTTTCTCAATGCTTTGTTCGTCATCAGTGTCTTTCGATTTTTATGTCAACTCATTCCCAAAGTACTAATCCCACAGCCAATCTTAGAGATCCTTTACTCAGAATCTGCTTTCTGCCCAGCATTTCCTATTTAAACACCGCCTGCTTTCCAGTTGCTTGTGTCCCTCACAGTTCACCTTTAAAACTTCATCTTCTCTGTTTGAAGTATTTATTTCCTGTGGTATGTCACGTCTCATGTGTTACGTTATCTGGGTGAGGATCTACCACATATGCTTGATCTATAGAAACGACTAATTTTATAGACAGATCAGGCTGCATGGGTATAAGCTGTGCTTAGTAAATGCCATGTTGATTTTATTCACCTATCCAGTTGCACACAAATCTTTTGTGTTTTTTTTTCCTTCAGACTGTTTTCTAAAGCCTTGGTAATGCTGATGTCAGCTTAGCAGGCTTGTCACTGCCTGAATCCTGTCTCCTAGCCAAACTCTTCGAACTCAGGCACTGGATTTGCTGTTGTGGTTGCAGAGAACCTCCCTCCGTAATTTAGAGTCTCTGCAGCCAAAACAGCAAATTCTTTCACTGCTGCTTCCAGAAGTCTGGGATGGGCATGATCCAGTCTTTCCTTCACCTCACACATGTCTGGCTCTCTTCACAATCAACTAGTACACCTAAGTAGTCACAGCTTTAAAATCTATTCCCTTTTCCAAAGAAAGCTGGCAGGTCATGGAAACCCCAGATCCTTCTGCGGTGTTGATGTCTCATGTCTGCAAGAGAATAGGTTCAGTTTTGATGGGACAGCACTAAATGTGGGCTGTAGGGGGAAGGAAGGAGTGCCTTGCCATTTCACGCTCCCAGGGAAAGACTGAAAGCACTTGTAGCACAGGAGATGCCAAAATATGCTTGACCTCCCTTCCAGGCTCATCTCAGTCAGTGATTTCTGGTCCATGTCACTGCCTCAGCATGGGAGGTTCAGTCCCTTGCTCTGCATCACTCCTATCCCCTTGCCTCATCCTTTGTAGATGCAAGGGACAAATGTGATATTGCCTTTTGCGCGTCTCAGTGAAAAACATTTTAGATTTGGATCACAGACATACACTCTCTTGATACTTATTATCCAAATGGTGATCCAGCGGTTGCCAAGGGTTGATGTTTTCTCCCTGTTAGAAACTCAATATACCTTGGCTAAATGACATCCCTGCTTTCGGATGCAATTGTGGCGATGACAAATTTCCCAGGATTACCATTGCACGTGGTGGAATCTGGGAACCTCAGTAACAAGCTATAAAGTCAGGAGGAAAGCCAGGATGTGAAGATCTTGGCAGCTCCCCCATGATGGAAGATCCTGCTGTACTCGGGGCCGTGGTGCCAAAACACAGTACAAACCATTAACTTATTCTGACGATACTCCCTCCTCAACACGGTAATATATTTCAGTATTCCTTGACCTTCCCAAGCTTCTTGGAGTCTCAGGAGCATCCCAGGGATAGGTAAGCCAGTGGTACAGGGGGTGATTGACTTGCTCTCAGCATGAACTAGTGGAAGAAGAGGGATGTGTAAATGTCATTGCCCATCTTCCCCCTTCCTCCCTCCTCCTCCTCACAGTCCAGGCTGTATCCCAGATATGATGGAAGAAACAGGCACAGGTCAAGAATCAAACCTCTCCCCAGCTCCCCCTCCATCTTTGGTTTCCTCTCCAGCTGTGCAGTTCTGCTGTGGAGCCCCTTGAGCTCAGCCTTCTTAAGGTGGGCCATTGCCTGCTTGGGGTAAGGGGTGAAGGTGAGGACAGGATGGGGACAGCAATTAGGGGACAGGATGGTGAGAGACCTCAGGATGGGAGCACGCTGTGGGATTGCATGATCAGGTGGTTGGGGTGGAGCAGCCATGGATGGGGGGGGTTGTGTTTGAATGAAAACTGATCTGTGATCATAGAGCTGCACGATGAGGACCCGCTGTCTGGTGATGGGAGAAGGACTGGGAGGGGAGCACATCAGCAAAGACGTTGCAGGTGCTGGGGCTGATGGATGGCGAGCAGGGAATGGCCACAGCTTGGGGTCATGGGGCAGAGCTGTGTCAGGTGGCAAAGCCTGGTCTGAGGGGGGCTGGCTCCCGCTAAATCACTGTCTGCAGCCTCCCGCTGGCTCAGACAGGACCCAGAAGCCCTAGAGGGGCTACTGCTGTGATGGTCGGTGTTGCTCTGCCAGGGAATCCCGGATGCTTTAGGCCAGTACCTGTCTCCCTTCAAGCACAGGCTGCAGGCATCTCCAGCTGCTCCAACCCCAGCCCTGCCAGGGATGAGTGCTTTGATCCCAGGGGGCACAGGGATGGGCTGCTGCCCTCCGTATGCACCGCTGCCCACGTGGTGCTGTGCTGAGCTGCACAGGGTTTAACACTGGCTTCAAAAGTCATCCTCATGGCCCAGCCAGGAGCCCGTTTGCTTTTCTCCTTGGGACACTGTAGTTGGAGCCTCGTAAAACCCTGCTGTTGGGCCAGCCGTTTGGTGAGTGCCCTGGGCAGGAGATGGTGTCATCGCTTTGGAGAGCAAGAGCTGTCAGGCCGCAGTGAGCGTGGAGCATTGGCATCTTCCCCATGCCAGCTCAGCGCTCCCGGGATCCTCCGGCTGCACGGGAGCAGCCCGGCAGCTTTGGTCCTTTCTTTTCTCTTCCCCCTTTTTTTTCTGGAACTCCGTACAGCATGAGCAGAGCAGGGATCCTAGGGGGTTTGCTGCTATCCAGAGAAGATGGCTTGTTCTCTGCCAGATCTTACGCTGGGAAAAGGCTGGAAGAAATCCATTTTGCAACGTTTCTGCTGGGGCTGTTGGCAAAAGTCATGCGAGGTGCAGCAGTCCCTGGCCGGGCTTGTTCCTCTGCCTCAGCAGCACTGAAAGGCACAGCCCAGAGCGATCAGAGCACAGATCTGTCTGCCTGACCTCTGCTCACCTCCCGCTTTACTGCAAATTTGGTTTTTGTTCATCCTAAAGAGCCTTCTGCTGAGTCAGGCTGCTCCTCCCAGCTGTGACCTGACCCTGCACCGGGCGCTGAAGCCTTTCCTTGGGAATGCATTCCCTGCACCACGCCGGCACTAGCAATTTGCATTTCTAGCAGCTACATGTCAGCCCGAACCACCTGGGGTTTGCTTATGTCCCTCACAAGAAAGGTTCTGGTTGATGCACGTGTTAGTCTTGAAAACAAATACCTCCACACTGCTTTTACTAAGGCTATACTTAGCGTCTGCTGCGGCGCAGGGCGCTTGCAGACAGCCCACAACGAGGTCATGCTCTTAAATCGAACAGGAATTTATCATCCCTGGACAGGAAAGGGACTCGAGTTTAATGCTTTCTGCTTGCAGATTCGAGCTGCCGTGAGTCGAGTTTTCAAGGTTGATCTAATTCCCTGCCATTTGCAGAGGGACGAGTCTGGAAATGTGAAACGGGGCCCCTCTGGGACCTGGGACGAGCATCTCAGCCCAGCGCTGTGTGCGTTGGATCTTCTGCTTATCTCTCGTTAGCACAGATGCTGTTTCACCCTCCTGTGGGGTAACTGATACAGAGGATTGAGGAAGAAACCGAACCTTCTCGTTGAGACACTTCTCGATTAATCCAGTGCTGCAGGAAGTGCCATTTCCCATGAACACGCAAGCGTCCATGCACTGCTGATGTAATTTTGTGGGGTCAGGCAATCATTTCCCCCTAATTACAGCTCCAGGAATGAATAATGTTTAGCTTAGACCCTGGTGACTTTGTATTTTGGAGCAGTTTTCATGTAAACAAAATACAGGCACATGGAAAAGAAGATAGGATTTGGATTTTTTTCCTTCTGGTTATTTTGGTTAAAAAGATGCCATCTGGGACTTGTGTAATACATTTCCGTTTGTTTGGTGGTGGTCGGTGAACGAAAAGATCCAGAGCCCCAAATGGTGCTGCAAAAAGCCTCTGTGTTAGAAACTTTCATGTTGCCAGAAATGGTTTGTGAGAGATGCTTTTACCTCCACCACAAATGTCTCTCTGAGATTTTAGAAGGTCCCTGTAGGAGCAGGAACTTGGAGGACTGGAAGAATCCCCTGGCCACGATCTCCTGAACAATATGTCCTATTGTCCCCTTCAGAAAAACATCATCTTCCATTTTAAAATTCTCAGTGTGACTTCTCCTGTGGAAGCCAACTCCAGGGTTGCACAACCCCCATGGTTAGAAACCTTCTTCTCACATGAGAATTGTCGTGGCATGCTTTGCCAATGGAGACGGTTGGATACAAGAAGAATGGGGTGGGTGAGAGGTGGGACAGCTGTTTGGAGGTGTTACTGCAAGCAAGAGCCTGTGCCCTGTCATGGCTGGCTCCATGCATTAGGTTTGGGATATCCAGACCACGTGGTTCTGCCCACGCTGTGCTGGAAAGAAGGTCTCTGGGGCTGAGGGATGGCAGCTGAAGCAGATGCTTCATAGCCTGGAAGGTGGTTGCAGCCCTACATAATTTATGAGCATGAGAACTTGAGCATCTGTCACCAACTTGGTGTCCAGCACCACATTTGTGGCTGGCCAGATCCAGCCTCGGGTTTGGTGATGCTACAAACAGACCCCCAAAACCAAACCAGCTGATCTGTGTGGCAGGGAAGGGGTGAGTACTGCTCGGGTGCTGTCTTTAGCTTCAAAAGCTCAAGGAGATGTTGCTGGTTTAGGAGAGAAGAGAAAAAGAAAAAAAAAGCAAGTAAGAACTTAAAATGACTTCCCAGACGAAGCATCTGACCAGTTTGTCTACTAATGATTGTGTCTCTGAGCCTGGAAATGCAAACTCCAAGCTGGTGGGGGCTCAGCACAGAGCTGCCAGTGATGGATCTGTCCTTTATCTCTGCTCAGCACAGACGCTCTCTCACCCCTCCTGCAGCTGCAGTGATGCTGAGCCTGTTGCCTCCTGAGTTGTTCCCTTGCCAGCGCAGCCCGTACGCACTCACATTTCCCAAGTGTGCATGGATCAAACTCTTCCCAGTTGCTCCTGAAATTGAAACAAGCCGTTGTCTTTATTTGTGGTCCTTTATTTGATTGAAGGTTAGATCTGCACCTTTTCAACCCTAACTGCAGGTTTTGCTAAAATATAAGGGGGATCTTCCCCCAGAGCCAAATGGATTTTTCTCTTCTTGGGGGAGGTTGCCTCATCCCAGCTTGGGCATCTCCAGAGAGGTTGAGGGAAGCAGCCCTCCCAACCCCTCTGATTTTTCTTGCTCCTTTTCCAGCTGCAGAAGACGGGGTTATGAGATCCACCTGGCAGGGGAAAGCTGGTCGCAGCCCACTTCAGGCCCTGTATGAGAGTGACCAGGTAAGGGGACAGGGAGAGGGCAGTGGGGGGATGAAGAGGGAGTGGGGCGCTGGGGGCTGACCCCTTCTTCTACCTCTCTGGTGTTGTGGGTCTCCAACCACTTCCATGGTCCCTGGCCTGAACCTCTGGCCGTGTCCAAAAGAAAAGACCATACTCCTGTCTAGGTGGATGCTCTAATGTCTATAAGCAGCTGAATTGCATTTGCTCTGGGAAAAATGGCAGATGTGAACTTTCTCAGCCACAATGCCAGCAAACCCTAACACTGCTGGAACGTCATGGTGTTGCTTCTTTAAAAGTGATACTTAATTTCTCTGGCTTTTAAAGAAAAGGAAATGAAGGGAGCAATTTTGCTCTGAAATAACTGCAAGACATGCACTTATTCCAGTGGGCGGCTGTTGAAAAGTAGTCACATTTATTTGTTGCCATGCCTGCAGACAGTGTGTCTGTCTGTCTCTCTGGTCCAATAGTTTTGAATTATGCAAGTACAGGGAAAAAACACCTGAAAAAACCCACATTATTAAAATGCCTCTTTTTTTTTTTAAATTTATTTTTTTAAGCACTTGCAAAAGGGCTTCCAATTTTAAAAGGTGACAGGGAGCCTCCAAACAAAAGACACTTCTGCTGAAAAGTTTGACTGTGTCGCCGGGAGGTGTACCATAAGAATACCTCTTTAGCTATGACTGTCACCTCCCTAGGTGCTATATTTTCTTTATATCCAACTAGGCAACGTCAAAGTCATTTCTTGGTGGCAGTTGGTGCAGTCAAGTCTGTTGACCTGCATTTCCTCCATCTGAGCATTTTCCCTTATCATCTCCCTCTTGGAGAGGAGCAGGGATGGGATTCTTTCTCATGCCTCCATCTCAGGTTTCTGGCCATGCAGGTTCCTGGAAGAAGTGGTCACTAAGGTGACCTGGATAAGGTTAGTTCCTTAGTGGAAATGAGATCCGAAAAGGTCTGTGTGTGGTTCATCCCTTGCAGGAGGAGCTTTTTGCCCAGATGTTAGTGCCCCTCTGAAGGTGATGGGTCTGCTGGATCATCCAAGGGATGGGCAGTTTGTCTCAGGATCCCAGCTCCTGGCAGGAGCTTTACAAAGCCCTACTCCACAAGACTGCCTCCCCCAGGCCCTAGTGCCTTCCAAAACCCCTTTTGGTCCCCAGAGAGAGGCAAGGGTGCACCTGAGGCTTGGCAAAGGGTGTCCTTTGGCATGCAGAAGTGATGACAGCAGTCAGCAGCAAGGATGTGGGGATTCAAGGAGTTGGCCTGCCCTTGCCCATAACCTTGAGGTTGTCTCCAGGCTGCAGAGAGATTTGCCATGGCGCCCTGTGATACCAGCAGGACTGTTTTCACAACCCCAAAGTGGAAGCCACCGTCATATTGCGACGTAGGGGCGATTGCATTGCATTACAGCAACAGCTCCGCGGGGTCAGAGCTGCCCTGGGTTGGCAAACCCGTGGTGAAGCCGTTAGTGGTCACGGCCCGGATGAGGCTGTTGCTCCCAGTGGTGGCCTCAGGGCTGTTCTTGAAACTTCCCAACTCTGGTGAGCAAAACAGGGAGGGAGTGGGCAGGAGGAGGAGGGGACCTTCCCCTTCTGAGTTCCTGGAAATAATTTCCTTCCCCCGATGCTTTAATGACATTTTGGGATTTCTGATGAAAATCATGACGGGAAAGGTCATGTCCCCAAATCTGGAGGGGAGTTTCAGCTGGGGTGGGAGTTGGGGGGCTCTGGGATCCAGGGAAACCAATGTAGCAGCTGCCAGGCCTTAATGCAAAGATCAAAAGGGATAAAGAAAAAAGACCATGTATGAACTTCTCGTCCCCATGAATGAAGAATATGATCAGAGATGATCATACAAACCAAACGTTTGTTACAGCACCCACCCATACACTGGGCTAAAGCTCTCCTTTACACCAGAACATGGGGGCATACATGGCCCGAGCCTTCTGGGGGCAATAGGTGGTGTCACACACCTCCTGGCTGTGGGCATCACCACATCGTGCTGGGGTGTGTAAGCCACCATCAGCTTGCCCAAGCTAGTGACCATCTCTTTTTTCTCTCTCCCCAGTTTGAGCAGTCATCGCTGCAGGCGGTTCACCAGCAGAGACGGGAGCTGTTGAGCAACGTCTGCAACCGTTACACCCGCAAGCGGCGCCTGCTGCGGCCCGATGACTTGCGGCACTTGGTGGTGGATGACACGCACGGGCTGCTCTACTGCTACGTGCCCAAAGTGGCCTGCACTAACTGGAAGCGGGTGATGATGGTCCTGACGGGGCAAGGCAAGTACCGGGACCCACTGGAAATCCCCGCCAACGAGGCCCACGTCTCATCCAACCTGCGCACCCTCTCCGAGTACAGCATCCCCGAGATCAACCACCGCCTGCGCAGCTACCTCAAGTTCATCTTCGTGCGGGAGCCCTTTGAGCGCCTGGTCTCGGCGTACCGCAACAAGTTCACCCGCAGCTACAACACAGCCTTCCACAAGCGCTACGGGACGAAGATCATCCGGCGGCACCGGCAGGAGCCCAGCGACAAGGCCCTGGAGCGCGGGGACGATGTACGCTTTGAGGAGTTCGTCTACTACCTGCTGGATCCAAGGACACAGCGGGAGGAGCCCTTCAACGAGCACTGGGAGCGGGTGCACTCGCTCTGCCACCCCTGCATCGTCCACTACGATGTGGTGGGGAAGTATGAGACCTTGGCTGAAGATGCCAACTACATCCTCCAGCTCGTTGGGGCCGACACAAGTGTCAAGTTCCCATCTTCATCCAAGACCACCAGGACAACAGATGACATGACAGCCCAGTTCTTCCAGGACATTAGCCCCTTCTACCAAAGGAGACTCTTTAATTTATACAAAATGGACTACTTGCTCTTCAATTACTCCATCCCCTCATACCTCCGCATCCGATGAGGCAGGGGCTGGGGGGAGAGGCAAAGGAGAGCTGGGTAACTCTCATCTTGCCAAAATTCCTCTCCTCCCACCCTGTGCTCATCTCTTAGTTGACTTCTCCCCCTCTCCATTATGGTCTGCTCCACATCCTGATGCCTTGTTCATGCATGGTCTGGAGGGAGGACACCTCTCAAAACACTGGGGCTGGAGCTTTTCCTTCCCTTTCCTTCCTACCCTTCAACATCTACAAGGGATGGTGGTGGGACTGGACACTGCTGGGTAGGAGGGCTTGCCATGGCTGGGGACTTTCTTTTAACTAAGAGACTCCTCTGTAGATCCAAGTCTTGGGAAGGCTCCTTTTTCGGGCAGGATCCCTTCAGGTCTTTCTCCTCCTTACTGGGCTGTTTGGGGGTGGACATGGCATCTTGGGGGGGAGGGGTGGAGCATGTCAGAGACTTGCATAGAACCAGAAATAAAGCAATAATTTAATGTAAGCTTTTCCTTTCATTTAAAATTGCTCCCATCGTTTCTTTTTGCCTTGTTCTCCTCCCTCCTCCTCCAGCTTCCTGCGCCCTCCCCCATTGCTGTGACCACGCATTTCTCCCTGACAAAGCCTGGAGGGCTTTTTTGTTCCTCTCCTTCCACGTGCTCTTGGTTGGGATGCAGAATACTCCAAAGAGAGAGAGAGAGGAGCAGGTTTGCAGCAGGTATGAGCTGACAGAGACACAGTGCTTTCTCCTGAGCTAGAACAGCAGAGCAGTCAGTGCCTCTGCCTGTGCCTGTCTCTGGATTTCTGGGCAAATCTAGTAAATCCAGGCCCCACACCGCCTGTTTTTTAAGAGCAGGTGATAACTGTTTTGCAAAGCCGTATGTACAGCATGGGTGCAGATGTCTGCTCAGATGAATCATGTCCTCCATGGTGTCCTGCCCATGGCCACACTGGACTAGCAGGACCCAGCTGGCAGCACTGGCTCCTGGTCCCCTGCCACCACGTGCTGCTCCCGGGCACAGCCGGTGTCTCCTGCATGGGGTGACTGCATTGCAATGGGGGACCAAGAAAGGTGCTGGGGCAGGTTTGAATTACAAAATGCCTTGGGGAGTGCTGTGCTGGGACATGGGAGACCACTGTGGTAATAAAAAGGTGATGCTGGACTAGGAAGGCGAGAGAAGAAGAGTGTGTGTGTGTCTGTGTGTGCTTGTCGGGGGGTGTGTGTATGTGTATGAGAAAAAACTGAGAATAAAAATGGGGACAGAGACACCTAGAGGAAAATTCCCCTTTGCCTGGCTGGCTTTGGACAATTCATTCCTTGAAGAAGAAGTGGGAAGGAGGGGGCGAAACACAAAAGAAAATGACAAACCCAGCCCTAGGATTTTAAATTAAAACCAGTCCAAGGAGCTGTATTCCTTTAAAACCATATTTCAGTCTTTCCTCTTTTCTGTTCGGCTTTGGCTCGGTGGCTGCCTTTGTAAATAAATATGCCAGTAATAGATGCTGCAGAGTGTGTCTGCTGGCTCGGCTGCGAACACTTGACTTATTAGTGCAATACAATGGGAGGTTTTATAAAACCCCTGTGCTCTCAGGCTCTTTTAAAAAATAATGTTTTCATCTAACAACTTTCGGCTGTTATATCTTAACCTTTTTCTTCCCTGTGTCCGATCGGCGCCTAAATACTGACACCCCCCACCTCGGTTGCTCTGTTTGGAGGCTGGGTTTAGCAAAGCAATGAAAGAGAAAAGTAAATAAAATTGCTGGTGATCCTGGCAGCTTGACTGATTTCCCCCATCTGGGCTGGAGATCTCGCGGAAATGGCCTTTCTCGTGCTATCTTAGAATCTCCCCATCTAGTTGAAACTCAAAGCACAAAATCAGATTATATGATGCAACAAATTTAATCTGCAGCGTTCAGGCTTGGCGTGCATTCCTCCTGTTTTCTCAGGAGTCTCACGTTCCCCATTTACCACTGCCTCTGCTCGGAAAAATCATTGTTCAAGTCGCCACAAGCTCTTTTCATCACTTTTGGTCATGAATCATAATTTGGGGTCAGATTCACAAAGGGATGGATTTTTGGATGGGTTTCTTTTTTTTTTTTCCTTTTTTTTTTTTTTTCCCCTCATTTTTTTCTTTTTTTTTTTTCCTTTTTTTTTTTTTTTCCCCTCATTTTTTTCTTTTTTTTTTTTCCTTTTTTTTTTTTTTTCCCCTCATTTTTTTCTTTTTTTTTTTTCCTTTTTTTTTTTTTTTCCCCTCATTTTTTTCTTATTTTCTTTTCCTAAATATTGTTCCCTGCAGGTAGCTCTTAAAAGCTGATGGCACAGTGAGTGGCACGGACAGACACACAGACTCTCTCCCCATTGTGCTGTGGGTGTTCAGGCGGTATCTGGCTGCCTGGGAGCCCCTTTGGGCTCTCTGTGGAGTGAAAGGAGGGACCGGCACACTCTGGGCTTTGTCTTTTGGCCAGCTGGTTTCTAACCTTTCCTGCAGTGGTGGCTATTTGGAGATGGTCCCGGTTGTCATGGCTATTTGATCGGCAGCCTGTCGCCCAGCATCCCCATCAGAGCTCACCCGGTCCCCAAACAACAGCAAATGCAGCCCTCCTGCCTCAGCCATGGCCTGCTAAGGGCAATATCCTGCTGAGATTTAGTCTGTAACAGGGCATCTGGGTCACGTAGAACCTTTGGAAATACCCATCTTTGGGCTTTTTTACTAAAAAAAACCCCACAACCAACCAACAGCCACAATCCAACCCATTTAGGTCATACCCTTGGCTTTCCCCCTGCCTAAACACCGCTTTCCAAAGCAAAACCTGCCCATGCAAACAGAAAATGGCCACTTTGTATTTCTGAAGCAACCGCTTGCAGCCCAGGCTGGAGCTTTCCAGGTCTGGAAAGGCTTTGCCTGTGCCAAAGCCGAGGAGCAGCCGGTGCCGGTGGCGGTGCGGGTACCGGTGCGGGTACCGGTGCTGGGGGCCGCCGGGCAGCCCCGGCCCGATCCCTACCCGGTTGGCACCGACAAACGCTGCGGGAGCGCAGGGAAACGGAGTTAGGAGGACACCGTGTGACGGGTGATCCCAACTGCAAGCATCTCAACTACTTCGGGTGCTGGAAACCATAGAATCATAGAATCATTGAGGTTGGAAGAGACCCACCATGGCTCTGAGCGGCTCCTCGTTGGTTGAGGGAGGGGGGTTTAACTGTTTCACTACATCCCTTTTTCTTGCCAGATGAGAAAAATATCGCGGTTATCTAGGCCACCTCTAAAGTGTATTGGATTTGGGTTTCTCCTCTACTTGAGACCAGCAATGTGGTGGCACCTGATGTGCAACAAGGAGATGCCCTGGGGGCTTCCCCCCAGGAGGACGGAGCAGGGTGTCATTCCCTCTGCCCTGCCTCAGCACCCTGCTCTGAGCAGGGAGTGATTCCAGGAGGAAGATGGTGGACCTGTGATGAAGGGCATGAAGGCACCACCAGGATCCAGAACAGGACCACAACACAACCCTGTTTCTTACTGGCAATGGGGCTTTGGTGCAGCTGCCCTGTGGGGCTACATACCGTGTGCTGCGCTGCGTTTTGACCAAGGTTTGATGACCAGCAGAGGTGAAGACTCCTCTCAAGTACCCATGTGACCTATGAGATGAAGACAGGACCAACCATCCCACCAGGAAGGAGCTCTGATGCTGTCACCTGGAGAAAGAGCAAAGGGAACATGTGTACCTGTGCATGGACTTCTTTTGGTGCCCTTAAATACAAGCCTTACACTACCAAAAAAAAAACCCAGGTTGGTATTTCTGCAGGGAAATGAACCTTCCCTGCCCAGGGGTAAGTGTGGCCATTACCCCCATGGCCCCATACCCGGGGAGCAGCTGGGTTGGGGGACAAGGTGGCTGCCAAAGCAGCACTGGGGTGTCCCTGCTGCACTAAGTGCACCGATCCTGCCACAAGGAGCAGAGGCAGAGCTGCAATTAGAGTGTGGCTGCAATTAGACACCTACCTCGTAACCAGGCAGCTCGTCTGCTGGGGTGTGTGGGGTGCATGGGACCTACTGGCCGGGCAGCACTGGTTTCTGCTGGAGTCCTCGGTGGCACTTTGGCAGCAATGGGTTGGGGAAGCAGAACTGGGGTAGCCAAGGGAGAGCTGCTGCAGCCAGTGCTGCCAAGGTCACCCCGGCTCAGCAACAGGAGCCCAAAGACAAACGGAAAAATCCCAGTTAGACGTGACGATTGCGCACAGCTCAGCCTCAGGCAAGGAATAACCTTGCAAACTCTATTTAAACTCTCCCTCCTCCAACCCCCCCCATCAAAGTGCCTATTAAAAATAAAGAAAGAAAGAAACAAAACATGGCTGTTGCCATATGAAGTAACATTCAGACTCCTGAGTCACAGAGAGCCTGTGTCATGCAGCCAACGTGGGGTGAGGGCACCACAGGCACGCTCAGAAAGGGGCTCGGGGGGCAAGTGCCCACCCTGCCAGGCTGGCCCTGGGGTTCGGTGCGAGGCTGGGAGCTGTCAGAGCACCAGAGATCCAAAAAACAAGTAAGACCAGCCTCACTTTGATATGTCCACGTATGCACACATACACAATGTAAATAATGGCTATATTATAATTTATAATAGAATTCTTGCAAATAATTGAAATATTTATAGGTGATAAATACACGCATTATATGTAATATGTATATGTGTATAAAGTATGTGCTACAAGAATAAACAGCACTTACAATTATACTTACATATTATATGTTGAGTGATTATATTTAATTGTAATACTTAATAGCCATTTGGTTTATGTATGTCTACATACACGTGTGTGTACATCTTATTTATTATATAAACACACACATACCTCTTCCTGCAGTGCTGAGTGTTGCCACAGTCCAAGGTGGCTTAGCAGCTAATGGCAAGCCAGCCCCTTCCTTCGAGTGCTACCAACGGCTCTGGTTGCTCCAGCCTTTGGCGCGTGGTGGGCACGTTGCCTCTGCTGTGGGCGTCTCATGCTCCAGAGCCACTGGCCCCATCCCTGGTGGCCCACGTGAAGCTGTTGAGTTTCTCCTTCCAGTGGAACAAAACAGAGCTTCAGTGATAGGGAAGTTTTCTTCCAGAGCTTGCTGTGCACCACAGATTGGGTTTTTTACCAGCTGGAGGATGAAATAGACTTCCATTGAAGGGGGAAAAAAAAATAAATGTGTTTTCAAGTATGCCTTGGAAGCAGTGTCGCGCTTGAAGGAGGCTTTTCAGACTTGCTTGTATTTGCTGGCTGGCTCTTCACTTGTCCCTGGTAAGGGTGTTGCATCTCGCACAAAGTAGAGTTTCTGGAAAAATACTGTATTAGGATGGAGGCAGTGAGTGGAAGCTGGGAGGGGAGGGGAGGGAAATAAATGCTTTTGACTATTCCTGAAAACAAATCCCTGCTTCCATGTCTCTCCCTACGGTTGGTGACAGCCCCTTTTTTGCTTGCGAAGAGAAACTCTTCTGCATTCAGGAAGGAGGGAGCCCCTGACTGACCAACCCCTGATGGATCTCCCCGAGGTCCCAGCTGCCACCCCACACCCCAACACACCGGCCTTGCAGTGGTGTGGGGCAGACATCCCCACTCCCACCCTCCCAAACTCCCATGCCCTTCCTCGCCCCCCATTCCACAGCACTGACATGAACTGGAGATTTAGTGGCTGATCACAGGACTGAGTCTAAGCCTCACTGCTAATACAGTATGAAGGAATAACAAGGGAGATATTAAAAAAAAATAAATTTTACATTTTTTCACTGCCTCCTACTAGAGCCTGGATCAGCTGGCTGATGGCTGCACAGGGCTTGGAGCATCCAGCCCAAAGCAACTTTTTAACTTTTTTAAAATTTCTGCTTTATTCAAAACTAGCCAGTCTCACTCTTCTGCTGACACTCCATGTTTGCCTTGTTCCCCACCCAGAGATTAAACCAAGGGAAGCCTTCAACTGGGATCACGTAGCATTTGATGGGATTTCTCAGTCCAGGTCAAGTGCTGAGCCCTAACGGTCAGGTCAGCAGCCAAGGACTGTAGAGCAGCAAGAAAGGAACTCTCTCCTCTCACCTCCTCCTTTTTAAGGAATTTGCTTATTTGGGAGCTGTGAGGAATAAATATAAATAAAAGTCACTGTCAGCTCAAATGGAGGTGCTGGTGACTGTGTCGGGGTGGCTACAACCCAGCGAAAGGCTGGGCACAGTAATGACACAGACACAGCGGCAGAGAAGCCAGGCCCACCGCTGGCAGGGACTTTCCTGCTGAGTTAGATTAAAGACAGAAATCACTATGAAATGTCCACAGCCTGTCTGGGCTCTGCTACCCACACAGGTTTGCTCTGAAGCCATGTGAATTTTGTGAAGGAGAAGGGAGGGAAGCAACAACCTCCCCACATCTCCTCCCCAACAAAATCCCTCCAGTAACACCCTCCCCACATCTCCTCCCCAACAAAATCCCACACAGGGAGCATAAAACCAGGTAGGGCCTGCTGTGATGTACTGAAAGCTCTCGAAAAGCCAAGGATGCTGCAGGCGTTTAAGCACCAAATCTCTGCTTTTAAGGGGAGGGAAGGAGGGTGATGTCATGACAATTCAGTGGCTTCTCGCCCTGCTGGGCTGGGGGCTGCACTCAGTGCCACCAAGGCAGCAGTCCTGGGGGCAGGGGGGAAACAGTGCTCCCACAGTGCTGCCCACTCACTGGAGGGGCTGGGGGTGCTTTCGGGGAGGAGCAGGTTCAGATGGAGGTACATGAACACTGATCCAAGCCGTGCTCCGGGGTCACATGTAACCTTTGTTAGCAAAGGCCCTTTCTCATTTGCACAGGGAAAGGAAGAAAAGGAGGAAAGAGAAAGAGTAAACAGGCTGAACAGCCAAATAACTAGCCTTTCACTGCCCTTAAAAAAAAAAGGAAAAAAAAAATCCCCTTTTATTGAAACCATTTCCTTTAGTTATATCATTTCTCTTGAGGCTGGAAGCAATTTTCAGTCTTAAGTGCGTTCCCTGCACTAAGTGCACGGGCACACGGCTGATGCTTGGCTGCTCACCAAGGGGTACCCCAGAGAACAGCGTGTCTCTGTGCCCTTTTAGTCCCACCACCTCAGCTTGTAGCCCCAACACCTCCTGCAAGGGGGGAACCCGCAAGCCTAGCATGGGCAAGGTGCAGCATGGGTCACCCCAGCCCAGCTGGGTCCTGCAAGTAGGACACAGATGGCATCCATTACATGTTCCCATCCGTGTTCCTCTGTCAACAGTGACAGCCAGAATGAGCCGAGCTCTGCCCAGAAATTCCCCGATGAAGGGACACACCACTGCAAGGGCTCTGTTGCAATCGCAAGGCAGAGGAGCAGCTGCACGTTGGGCACTGGGAATTGATACTGGAGGAGAGTCACTGGGGTCCCTTGCAGTCAACACCAGCCATCGGCTCCAGCGTGGGGCTTTTCGGGGACTGGAGGCAGCAAGGACAAAGCTGTGCTATTAAAAGAGAGAGTTTCACATGTCTGGGACCCTGCAGAGAGCTGGGGTGTCCTCAGCAGCTTGGCCTTAGGACCAGCCCTGTCTGATTCACACCAGCAAAAGCATGGTCAAGTGGGTGGCGTCCCTGCCCATGGCAGGGGGGTTGGAATTAGATGATCTTTAATGTCCCTTCCAGCCCACACCATCCCACGACTCTATGATCAAGGCCTGAGAGGCCTTCTCCAAGGCAGTGGGGACATGCAGTAAGGCGGGGAGAAGAGAAGCTGGTGTTGAGGCAAGAGAAGTCATTTGCCAGAAGCCAGTGCCAAATCAGAGCTAATAAACGTTTACAAAATAAAACGCTAATCTCAAATTATTAGAATACACATTTAGGAATCTTCTAATGCAACCCCCTCAGCCTGGGACCAGCAATCAGAGCGCTTGCATTGCTTTCCCCGTAAGCCCCCTCAGCTGCTGCCGTTCCCCCAGGTGTGTGCTCAGCCCAGCAGAGCTGACAGCACTCCAGCTGCCACCAGAGATAAAGCAAGCCAGGCCCTAGATGGGGGGAGTGTGTGCCTCCAAATGCTGAAATCTCCCCCGCCATGAAGCTGCTGTGACATACTCTCCTGCTCAGCCAGCATGGGGTAATTTATCCCCTGTAACAAAAGAGGAAGAGGAGGCTTGGAGAGGGGGAAAGGCAACAGCTTATTTCTTTCCAGGGAATGCTTTTCCCACCTGGCAGCCTGAAGCTGGACGGGTTTTGCTGTTTGGGACCTTCAGCCACATGTTGATCCCATACAGGGGCCTCAGCTTTGCAGCAGCACCGGAAGCAAAGGAAGACCCAAGGCCAGTAGGCACCCAACACAGCTCAAATTTAAGATTTTAAGAGCTGGCTGGTCTTTGAACAAGACTGTCTGCCAGAAGGCTGAGGGACTTGACCTCCCCCTTTCCCTGCTCCAACACATACAAAGGCAGATTAATTACTAAAGATGAAACATAGTGGCATTTTTCAAAGGTTTGATCCACGTCCTCAGCTCCTGCCTCTTGGGCATCTTATGATGTGGAGGACCCTACTTTTTCGATTTCAGTGAGAACTGGCTGCTTTCAGCCCCACAAGCCTCCCGATGTGTTCCTGGTAGCACAAGATAGCCACCCTGGAGCGAGGACCTAAGGAGTCATTTGCCAAATCCTCGTGCCAAACCCTCACCCAGCCCAACACCATCCTTACACACACATGCAGATTCTAGACTCGTTGCAGCGCAATTGTTAATGAGCGGATGGCAACTGTGGGAATGGGAATGGGCTTTAATTCTAACCTGAAGCACATGGGCTGCAAAAGGCTGGTCTTGTTTAGGAAACACTGATTTTCCTCAAGCCCTATTAAAATTGTGTTGTCCAACCATAAATGGATGAGGAAGAAGCGAGCAAGAAGTTATACCTGACAAGTCTGAACTAGAAACAGGCAGAGCCACGGTGAGAAAAAACAACCCCCAAATCCACAGCATTACCTTTCTTTAACCACTTTATTTGTTTGTGTGTTTCTATAAACATTTTAACTACTGGACATTTCATAAACCGTAAAAACAAACCTTCCTACCCCCAAAAATGCAATTAATCCAGCTTGTTGGTCAGCCAACAGTGACGCTGCCAGGGCAGGTAGGTGGTATCCCTAGATAACCTCCTGCTGGGCGCGAGCCAGCCAGGAGCTCACTGCATCAGATCCTGAGTATCTGAGCGAGGGAGAAAAGACAAGTTTAAAGACCTAGTTGCTCTCCTCCTCCAGGGATGCAACAAGAGAGAAAAGAGGGTTGAATAAAGAATTCCCCTTGATGGGAAGTCAGAGTCCGACAGAGAGGTTGTGACATCCACTTGCAGGATCGGATGCAGTGACCTCGGTGGGCTTTGGAGCGGCCTCATGGGCTGTGTGTGCTAGGGCCAGAAACCGATCAAAATGCTCATTCATTACAAATGGCCCAAATGCTCCTTCACGCCTTGTTTGCCGGGTGCTGCTTAAAACCGGCTTGCTCACTTGTGAGGGCACAAGTCTGTGGGTGCTGATTCCTCGGGGCAGGTGAGCCCAGCTGTAAGGCACGA